AGAGAGAGAGAGAGAGAGAGAGAGAGAGAGGTGTTTGGCGCTGCGTCAGACCCTTGAGGAGGGCAGCAGGGAAGCTGAGCTGGGCCTGGACACTCGCCCGGTGGCAGAAGATCTGCCATAAAGTAGGCAGCAGGGCAAGGGACTCAGCTCCCAGATACACGGGGTCTGGCCCCAGATGGGGTGTGGGCGGCCCCTCCACCTCCCCACTCTGTTCCTGGGCTCCAGCTGAATGGGGGCTGCAAGGGGAACAAGAAGATCTTCCAGATTTCTCTCTTTAAAAAAATTGTTTTTTAGGGTTATTTATTGATGAGAGAGAGAGAGAGAGAGAGAGAGAGAGAGAGGGGAAGGGGGAGAGAGGAAGAGAGAAATATCAATTTGTTGTTCCATGTACTTATGTATTCATTGCTTGATTCTTGTACCAATGTGACTGACTGGGGATCGAGCCTGCAGCCTTGGGTATTGGGACGATGGTCTAACCCAGTGGTCGGCAAACTCATTAGTCAACAGAGCCAAATATCAACAGTACAACGATTGAAATTTCTTTTGAGAGCCAAATTTCTTAAACTTAAACTATATAGGTAGGTACATTGTTATTAACTTAATTAGGGTACTCCTGAGGCTTAGGAAGAGCCACACTCAAGGGGCCAAAGAGCTGCATGTGGCTCGAGAGCCACAGTTTGCCGACCACGGGTCTAACCAGCTGAGCTACCCAGCCAGGATCCCCCAGATTTTTCTTGACCCTGGAGTCCAGCCCGGGCACAAGTGCAGGGAAAGGAAAAACCCAGGACGGGCGCCTAGCAACCTCCTGGCCTGGCAGGAGGCCCTGCCCCACAGCTCAGCCGAGGCCTCGCTGTTTCAGCGGCTCCCTTTCTGTTCTGGCCTCAGGTGTCCACCTGGCCATCGAGGACACCGGGGGCTCCTCCTGCCGGCAGCCGTGGCGTCAGGGGCTGTATCGCTGAAAACATGCCAAGGGAGAGATTCTGGGCAAGGGCCCGCCCAGCCCTGGCATCCCCGGAGCCCGGTCCGTGACAGAGACTGGAGAGTGGTGCCTGTGACAGGGTCGCCGCGTGATGGGTGGCCTCGGGGGTGAGTGGCGGTGGTAGCGTGCGACCGCAGTGCGCGTGGCTGCGGGCACCTCCACGGCTCGAGGTGACCTGTCGGTGTGTGTGAGCCACGCTCCGTGTGGAGAGCTCAGAGCGTGGCCCCGAGCAAGAAGGACTGTGCTGTCCGTGTGTCCGGGCCGGGGCGCACGCGAGGGCACGTTTAACGCCCTGGGTGCGGGACCCAGACGCTGTCTGCCTGGGAATCCAGGCTGCTCCGCTGACTGGGGGTGTGCTCTCTGCTGGCGACACGACTGCTGTGTGCCTCTGTTTCCTCAACTGGAAAACAGGGGTCATAGTTCCTGGCTAACAAATCCAGGCGTGGCTGTGAAGCTAAGGGAGGCGAGAGGCGTGACGTGCCTAGAACAGGCCTGGCGCACTCGGCGCCACGGACCCGGCACCGGATGAATGAGGGCGCCCTGCCGCCTGGGCCTGTCTGCTTCCTGACGGAGGGTTTCTACTCAAAAACCAACTCGGACAGCAGCCCCTGGGAGCCACAGTGATCGTGGCTGCGACCTAGCACCCCCGAGTGCCGGTCTCGCACGTGCCTTGTTGCCGGTCATCGCAGCGGGGAACGGATGACCGAGGCATGGCTCTTCTCTCCATTTTACAGATGAGGAAACCGAGGCTGAGAAAAGCCGGAGAGTTTGCACAAGACACACCAGGAGGGTCGGAACCAGGGTTTGAGCCCGAGCAGTTGGTGCCAGTGAAACTTTTAAAAAACGGACGCTCGGCCTGGGGGCCGGGGTTTGCCAGGGTGAATTTTTAAAGTGTTACATTGAAATGGTATTTATTTCACTTACCGCGTCTCGTTGCATCCTCCGTCCTTAACCAAAGTCAGGCGCTGGGCGGGAGGCTGGGACCGGATGCGCCTGATGGGCTTCCCGGCGAGGCAGCTGGTGGGCACCGTCCTCAACAGGTGCCCTGCTCACCGCTTGTCCCTCCGGTCTGAGCTCAGCACTGTGCAATGCCCGTTGCGCAAATGGAGCACCCGAGGCCCAGAGAAAAGGGGGAAGAAGGCACCGGGTCACCCGAGGTCTCCTGGCTCTTAGATTGGGTGCTGCTGCCCCCAACTCCCCGGTGCCTCCGAGCAGCTCCGTACCCCAGCGGCGACCTGGGCCCGGCCCCGAAAGGCCCTGTTGGCTGCAGAGCCCCGCCACTGACCCGCGCCTCACACCTCAGCAGGACAAGATCAGGGGAAGCAAGGGCGGCCCTCGCCTGGGGTACAGCACTCAAGGAAGTGCCTCAGAACTCAGCAATCAAGCAGATGACAGTTCAATGCAATATTTAAAAATGGAAAATAATGCAAAACATCCGTAATAAACACAGTTTTGAACAAAGACAGGATCCAACCCTGCACTTGCACACACCCCCCGTCGCCACGCCTTGCCCTAATCCCGGCCCTGGTTCCGACGAAACGTTACAAAAGCGGACGGCCCGCCCCCCGTGGAGGGTAGTTTGCTATTTGGTTTCTAGACATATTACATTGCTATAGTGTTTATCCTGATTGCGGAGGGTTTGCTGTGTGCCCCTCTTAAACTGTACGCTGGGACGAGGGCCTCATCGCCTCACCCCGAGTCCAGCATTCCTGGCTCTGCATCTCAAAGCCGTCCCTTCCCGGCCGTGTGACCACCCGCAATCACGCAGCCCCTGCTTTCCGGCTGCCCTGCGCCCCCCGCTGATGGGGACGATGGCATCCGAAGAGCCTGGCTCTGAAATGCCGCTCAGGTAAAGGCCTGTTACTCTTCCTGACGCCTCGTTCTGATGCACGCCCGGCCCCTCTGGCCCAGCCCTTCCCGGGCAGACCCCGGGCACAGCCCTCTCTGGGCCCCACGCTGCTCGCCTGCACGGCGGGGGAGCGGGACCAGCCTGGCATCTGGGCGGACTGTACAGGAGCCTGAAACTAACATCTCAAGACACTGAGCAGAAAGGACCCAAGTCCCCAGGCGAGGCTGCAGAGGTCGACGGCTCACATGTTCTCTCAGCCGGGGCTGGACTGGCATCTCCCCGCGGTGGGAGCATGGCAACCATGCCTGTCAGTGCCGCCAGGCTCCTGTGGGGGCTAGCGAGGGCTTTGATGGGTTTCAAAATCCTCCGAGAGAAGAAGTGGTCCTTGGAGGCGAGGGGGCCGGAGTCCCTTCCCACTTCCGCATTTTCATACTGATAACCGCCATAATTAATCGCCTCCTGAATGCAGGCCCCTGATGTGATACTATTTCCCTTAATCCACAGGACACCCCAGTGGGGGGTTCTTAGCTCTGCATTGTAGATGAAGACACTGGGTGGGGGGCTAAGGGGCTCCCTGATGTCTCACAGGAAGCGGGGACTCTGTGCCCCCCCCTCCCCCCGCCCCCTGCCCCAGGC